ATCAATACCTGGCGAATGTCGGAACAGTGCTCTAACAAATGGGCCACGGACCGCACGCGACCTTTCCTTCCTCTCCCTTCTCTCTCGTCCCTGACCTACACACACTTCCACTGACAAGCACTATAATATCGCACATTGGGAGACCAATCGAAATTTAAGAGAGTGTCCCGACTGGGCGGTGCCCTGCTGATAGAGATACCTAGATGGAAAACACCGTGTCATGTCATGTAAGTCGGCACCGGATCTCACCATCCAGAGCCGCGGGGAAACCCTGCCAGCTTCCGGGATAACAAAATTCAGTACACTAAAGGGACTAATGACCATAGTTCACTTACCCGGAAACATGAATCAAACCTAGTAAGTACGAACGTATTTGTCTCGGAAACGTTCGAGGTGTTTAACGATTGAATTAATAATATCTTTAAGAGTTATTATAAATTTATGGCATTTAGAAGCGGCAGAATAACGCTACAAACCAAGAAAATCTTAAATCTTCATAAAGCATGAATTCCACAAATTAATAAAAGAAGTTTGTGACGACCAATTTACATTGTTGGATAGAATTTCTGCTCTTTCGTATATTACTCTCCAAGATACGTCTTGACACTAGCTTACCTCCAAAGATTGCAATGATAGTGCGTGTTGTTAGTGGGTGCAGAATGGATGATTTGTACAAAATAAATATTGACTATATACAGGACAGGGTTCAGAATTGTAATTAAAAGTCCTGATTCCAAAACACGTACAGGACGAAGGTTGACTATTGTTGATGTCTTCCTCAGTGAGACAGTGAAAAAATTCACATCTTTACGTCCCCCAACTACAAACCCGAAGCATTTTTTGTTGGTTTTTGCAACCAGAAATGTACCGTAGAACGAGTAGGAAAATCATTTGAAAAAATGCCTATGCAGGTTAAAAATTTTTAACCTGTCAAATGAAAATAAGTATACTGGTCATTGCTTTCGACGCTCGTCTGCTACTTTCCTGGCTGATTCTGGGACTGATTTGTATACATCAATAAAGGATTGTGGATGGAAATCCAACTCGGTTGCAGAAGACTACATTGATGAATCTGTTACAAATAAAATCGGAGTTTCCGAACAAAAATACATTTAAATAGTTTTGAGAACATGCACAGAATTGAAACTAGTTGTGTTACAACAGCACAAAGGAATGGCGTATAACTCAAGTTCGTTGAACTCTCTGAATTTTCTAAAATTGTAAATTTAGAAATAATTCGAACCAGTGTGTGACTAATGTCTACAAAAACACGAAAAATGGCGGCCGGCGTAAAACAAAAATGGCAGCCATTTGTATACCAGGTACAATAAAAAAAATAAAAAGTTAAAATGTTTTCGAACAGCCTAAGCAAAAGGAAATTTATATTCAAAATATGATTTTCCCCCTCCCGAGATGGTCGAGAGAATGGAACACTGGAACGCTCAAATTGGATTGACCCTAGAGCTAGTTCTAAATGTACTGAATAACATGACGTAAACCCCAGTTTGTGTATTCTTGTAACGTTCCAAAAATTACACAAATGTAATTTTTTTAAATATTTTTCACGCCATAATTATTAGATTATAGGCATTTGTGTTTATTATAATATCTCCGAAATATTGTCATAACGGTTACACTTTCATCTTTTTTTATTTTTGTATCATTAAAAATAAGACAAATGTGTTCATTAATGGCCAGAGGTGGCACAAATATGACCTTTTACTAAAAAAGGAAAAAAGGTGTAAACATGACTTGATAAGCATAATAAAAATTCGTTTTTCTACACTGCAATACCTGAAATCATGCTTGAATTGATGAAACATTTAAGATTTAAACATTTAACATTTCAGATTTTAAGTTGTGAAATCACAACATGTCACTAAAATCTAGCCCCTATTAATAATTAATTTAAAATATTAACTATTATGATTTATTCAATATTAAGATATAAATAATATTCAATATTAAGATACAATAATAATTTATTCAATATTAAGATAATAAAATAGGCTGAATAAAAAATGGAGTGAAATGTTACTTTCTGAGCAATTTCTTCTGCTGTCCATAAAAATATACCATTTCATCTGCTCCAGCGTTTTTGTAAATCTGCTTAATGAATATATCAAATTTAATCCACAAGTTATATGGATTACTAAAAATTTAATACACATTTAGAGGAATGTTAAAATACCAGCATGCTCATAAAATGAATTAGGCTTTGTAATGTTCATTTTGTTTGTGAATTGATTTCTTTTCAAGCTACATCCTGGATTTCCATCTGCCTTTAAAATTTTGTGAATTGGATGAGATTTATGATGAGATTTGATGAGATTTATATCGTTATTTGATTTTGACAAATCTACTAATGATTTATGTCCTGCTTCCAAGTGTAAACATTACTTAATGATGTTGTTCTTCCAGTAATTGTTTGCGAACTTTCATTTCATCATTTCATTTGTTTGAAATTATTTTATTACTATTCTTGAACTTTTATGGCATAAAAACTTCACTGCTGAATCTCTTATTGTAACATTCTATTGCTCTTAATTACTGAACACATTTTGTTGACACTTCTATTTCATTTATTTATTTCTTGTACAATTACAATTTATTGTATGCTCATTGATAATTATCAGTTTCTGTTTTACGGTATTAATTGATACAGTTATTGAACTATTCTGTAATTTCAATAATAAATTGTGGAGCAGCTTTGAAAATCATTCTAATGAATAGGGACAGATTTTAATAAAATGTTACTTTTTTTCTTTTCACTTTAAGACAATACCTTTCAGAATAGACATTAATTTTCTTTTGATAAAAGGAAATGGCTCATTTTTATACGACTTTCTTTTGTGCTTTTTGTCAATTTGGATTAACAAGACATTTTGTACCTTACCCTGTCATTTTTAGAGCATTTTTCAGTATTTCATTGATTTTAATGTAATTTTAATGATACTTAGTTCAAATAATATTTACAAGATTCAACAAATCTTCTCCACAGAATTTCCGAGTAGCCTATTCAATTTCTTTGCTCAGAAATTTTAATGTCAACCATTGTGAGTATTAATTTACGGTTCCTGTGATGTCTAACAGCGCCATTGTCCATTCGGCCAATTTTGTGGTTAGAAAAGACAGACATTTCCTGGTACAGAACAGGCCTACCAAAAGTTTGTGTGCTGAATGCATTTGAACAAAAGGAAGAAGCCTCGATTACATACATCAGTAACATGTCCTAACAGTTTGAGTTGTTCATCAGAACTGGTTTTGATCAAATTTTTTATGTCATTTTTCTTTGTTTTGAGAACATTTTATTGATCAATTTTGGTGATGTTTTAGCTCATCAAAATCCTCACTTCTAATGAATAATAATTTCATTTTGCAAAAGGGAAAATTTTAAAAGTTTTTAAAATTATATAATTTATCCATCTAATAATTTAAGGACTAAAGAATTATGATACTTAAATATCATATAAATATTTTGTGAAACTAAAAAACTATTGTTTAATTCAAAAGAATTCATTTGTACTGTAGTAAGGTATCCAACATATAATGTAAAAAATAAATATAATTATCTTAGAACATGCAAAATATTAAATTGCATCTATTTATGTTTATTGTCAAATATCATTGTCCGTTTTCTATCAAATTCTAACACTAAGATGTTCTAGAATTTTGGAGGATATTTTGTAAGATCGTTCTGTTTCCATTTCACACTACCTCAAATTGAGTCAACTTACATGTAGAAGAATTATCTGATATATCATTTGTGTTGCAGCAAAACAGAATTTTGTCTCTTTTTGGTTAGAATAAAAATTATAACATTTCAGGAGCTGTTTCTTGTATTTTCATAGATTTTAATTGTGCTTTACTTTTTACTTGATCAAATGTATCAGCTTGTGACATTCTATTCAAGTAGCTTTTCGAATGTTTATCTGTTCTGCCAATTGAATACTTTGCTTATACGACTAGGTTATTTTTATTGTGGTAAATCCAAAGCTTAACAAATATTCTTTATTCTGAAAATTTGGTTTCCAGAAAATAAACCAAGTGGTGTTCAACATAACATCACACTATTTGTCAGTATAGATGAAAATCTGAAAATCTATAACATTTATAGATTTACTTAAGTTATTATTCAGTGAAAAATTCTGTTAACATTGCAGTTAAGCCACTCAAATAAACTTAACCTGATTAAAATTCATTAAAAGATTTAGGTTGTGATTAAGATTTACAAAGAATAAGTGTGCATTATGTTTACAAAAGATCAGAAAAGAACAAATTGTAAATTTTCAACTTCAGACCATTGAGAAAATAGGGTAGATTTATTTTTCAAAAGAATGCACTGAACATTAATACCTAGGAAAGACTTAAATTTTTTATCTAAGGAACTCACAAAATGGAAAATCTTCTGTTTTAGACAAAACACCTTAATTTCTCTTTAAAAAATAGAATTTAATAGGTATTTGTGCAAATGGCTGAACCATATGTAATTATACATTAACACAATTACAGTAAAATCTGTTTAAGATGGAATCGATTGGGACAAAAAAGTTCCGGTTTTGGGAGGTTTCTGTTTAATGCAGAGTTGTCCACTTAATGATATTTGTGATATTGATATTTCCATTCTGAAACTGGTAAATTGATGTAAATAAAGAAGTAACTAAAGTAAAGTAAAAATTACATGATATTAATATGATTATTAAAATAATTTACATATAACCTATTTATGGAAGAAATCACCAATAAACAAATATTAAACATCTTCTGAGTTTATCTTGCTTCCATAAGTTTGACCTTTTCATGTAATGTTTTTGAGTTTTCGCATTGATAAACTGGTTGTGAACTCATAAAAACACACACTACCTCACTGCCTAACGGCTCAAATGGGACTGCTTGCCAACTCTTTCAACACACAATGCATCACAGCCCAGAGTACAATGATTTTCTGATACACTCACATGGTCTTGAGCAATTGGCTCTGGCTGAGGGGTTGCGATTTTGAACATGGGGCAGGTTGAGGTGCGAATAGAAGTCGTGCTAGTACACCTTTCCAAGCTCAGTGAGAAGAGGGGGGTAGAGGAGGGAATTCCCCCATGGCCTACGCCTTGCGAGACAAGTAACCCCAAGGTCAAATTCTATGCAGTCAGCTGAAGCCCCTCTCCATTACAGTGCGATTGCCACGACTAATTGTGTAGGATTGAGAATTTAAAACAGACTTTCAGATATATTCATTACATTAAGAATATCTCACATGTCTGCCAATCGTATTAAATTCGCAGGAATAGAGTTTTATAAAAATTTTCCCCTATTGAACATGATAAACCGTTCTGTTTCCACGTTAGACACACTCTGTTTTATGCTGTGTGAAATACCACATAAATTCACATGCCAGAGAAATTGTCCAATTAAGGCAGGCTTCCAGCTAGTACAGGTTCCGGTTTCGACAGATTTTACTGTATCACTTGATCTCTTGACTTTGAACGTCTCTGAATTAAATAAATGTATAACAGGAAGGATTGGTTTTAATTGGGAAAAACAGTTCATTTTTTGTTCATCTTTTTTATTTTGAAACTTTCTTCCCATTTTCGGTAAACATATTTACATAGGGTGTCAGTGGAATGATTCCTTCTACATCTGCAGGGTGACCATGTGCACTAGGGAAAGCATTTGGGACTCGCCCCATTGTCGCACATACTTTGTCCTAGTACATTCACGGTTCCCTGGTTACACTCCGGTATGCCGCAGCCATTATGGTCACCACTGTTTAACAGGTGATGCCAGATCCAGGACTTCTTCCTTGTTTTCTGTCATGCTGCATGAATTCTCTGTGGTATCTGAGATCAAAATAACCCCCTAGTACAAAAAACATGAATATCAAGAACCCAATAAATGATTGATGAATAAGATATGTGGTTTGTACGATGCTTTGAAAGGACCGGACCAGTAGCCATGGTCCCATGTCTCTGGATCCAGCACTGGACATGAGTCCTAACTGCAACTGCAACTGCCTCTACTCCTGATATGGTTGATACCGGCATGATGTGATATGCTTCCTTCAGCTAGGGGTAGTGTGCCGATATGCTGGTATCTGCACAAGCCAGTGGGCTGGCCCCCCCCCAAGCTGTCAGATATTGGCACCATGATTTGGTCAAAAATGGAGGATGCTCTCTCCTTCAAGTATACTTCATAAAAATACCAGCGCTGCATGTCATATGTTTAGAATGGGTTGGAAGTTGACACCCTAGGTGTCACGCATACACACTGGGAGTCCAGTCGCCCTCATACACTCACATAATACTGCATTGGCGCTGGAAGATCAGTAGGGCAGAGGCCTGCTACAATACATATGTACAAAATAGGAGATATCTTGTTTTAAATAGCACATTACCGTAAAACAGGAGCATAGGAAACAAAATATGTACAGAAATACAATCTCATCTTAAATATGTACACTACAAAGGTATAAAGGCAAGCCTAGATGGGAAGACCAGGCTCACCATTTCTCTATTTACAAAAGGCAGGTTGTCCAGACACTTGCCTGGATACTCTATAAAACTCACAAATGTGTCACACAATACTGAAAACATTTGGCGCTCAGTTTTAGGGTATAAAATATTTGGCAACTGTAAACACTCTTCGCTTCTACATTTCATTCACAACAAATCAACTTGTCCATCTTACAGAATATTTTTTGGCAACAATAAAACAAAACTACATATAAAATATCATAAAGAAATAACAAAGCCCTCATCAGGGCAGCCAATTAGCATACAGACTGCCTCAGTCAAACACCAAGGCAGATATTGCACAGGCACCCTAGGGTCCTTCACTGAGCAACTGCTGAGGCAATTCAACTCAGTCTATCAACTGTATCTGTATACGAAAAGTTGGCACTCCCAATGGGAAGACGGCAACTGGGGCATGGAAGTCCGCAGCATTAGGAAGAGGATCACGGAGCGTGACCACGTGAACACTAGTCTGTAGTTCATCTGTCACTAGATTTGAATAGCAGAAACTTGAGGCACAGCAGGAACACAGCACTGTTGCTACCAAGACACTATGGTGATCACTATTGGGGACGACCAGGTGACCGACGATGCATCTCCCGGTGACTCAATAGCTGTTGCTGGGAGCTGAATCCAGCATCACAGCAATCACAAACATATGGTCGTGGTTGAGCATGTCCCAGTAGGTGCTACAAGGAAAAAAGAAGAACATTAACAAAGAAGAACATTAACAAAGAAGAAATTTCGAAGAAAATTATTACAAAAACTGGTTTGTCAGAAGAAGAAACTAATTTAATAGCGCTAAAATATTAACAGCCAGGGGGAGAGAGGGAAGAGGGAAACCAAAATTAATAAATATGCAAATAAGTATTACACTTCATAGAAACTGATAATGTTTGAAGACAATAAATCAATATTTTAAGAACAACACCACAAAACTAATGTAAATGTTTCTTATGTATATTGTTCTTACAAATGATTTTCATTAACATCTTTACAAATATGGATCTGTAATTTTCAATTTTTGAACTATAATTTGAGAGGAAAAATTCTTCAAGGCAATGACTAATAGTAATGAAAATATTTTAATAAAAGCACCAACAAATTAAGAAATGGTCTATGTACTTGAAATTCAAAAAGAAAAGCATTTCAATTTGACTTTTAAGATACATTTTTTAAAAATTTTCTACATTTACTTGTAGAAATAAAATCAAATTAAAGTTCAATTATTTAAATAAAGAGCATTCAAGAAAAAAGGATCATAAACCCACAGGCTCATTAGATGCAGTGTAGTTAATCTCGAAAGAAGAAAATGAATAATGTTGAAGTATTAAAAAAAATTCTTGTTGAAACAATAGGTAAAAAGAATTTATGGGAAACAAGAAACACTCTTTCAAGATCTACAAAAAATCTAAGGAATACAAAATATTTAGAAGAGTTTAATCAATCTAAATGCACAAAGTCAAACTGAAGTCAGAAGTATAGGGTTTAAATTAGGAGAGCAAATGAAAGAAAGAATGAAATTCATGTAAGACAATTATTCCTTTCCCTTTTCAATTCACTGAAATATGAGATATTTTAGTTAGGACATGATGAACTGTGATGTATAATGGATAAATTCAACATAATGACATTAAATTGCTCAGTTTCCTTTGATATTGTTGTTGTTGTTGTTTTTTGTTTGATATATTTTTTGACGTTAAACAAACAAACAAACAAACAAATAAATAAATAAATAAATAAATAAACAAACATTAAAAATTAATTAATGAAAAATCAACAGAATTCCAGCAAGAAATTCTAACAGCTACTTTCTCTCATGGTTGAAATATTTTTGGTGAAGTTCTCTTTGCACAATTGAAAATTAGATGAGAGATATTACCTTAATAATTAAAATTAATTTCTTAATTTTTTCTGCACCTGAGTTTTCCCACGGGAATAAAGGATTACTTCTACAGAGAAGAGGTTTTTAAACATTTAAAGATCAAATTAAACAGATAGTGATGCAAAATGTCAAGTACCTTTTGAAGAGCTTCTAATGAAGGCTGAGGCATCCGACACACATCACATGCCAGACCCTTAGAATGACCTAGGGCTTGCTCTATTCTCAGCAATGTCCCATGATCAGGAAGACCATTGACAGTGGCAGGTGGCAGTGGTGGATGGTGTTCCCACACAGGAGGTGGAGGTGGTACAGATCGACGAGCTCCTTCTGCTGCACCATGGTCCATGAGAGCATGTATCTGCAGAGCCCCCGACTCGGCAAACACACGTGGACATAGTGGACATCCAAAGGGTACCCTGCTCAACATTTCCTGTGCAGAAAAACTCAGCTCATTATTGGAATTTCAAAGAAAAATATTGAGAATTATAAGATTACAATGAAATATTTTGAACTGAGTATGTAAATGTGAGAAAAGATACAAAGTACTAATGATTTTATTATCTGAATTATATTTAAACAGTATTGGGCCTTAAAAGTACATTACTCACAAAGTTTATTAATGACTGGACATAATACAAGACAAAATTAGTATTATGTTCCAGCCAATTCTCAAGAAAATTATTAGGAAACTTAATTTTAAGGACTGAACAGAAAATGGTCTTTAATAAAACCAGATGGAGAAGAGGAGAAAGAAATTGTATTAATCACAAAATTAGTCGATTGTCAAAATGCTTTTTAGATATTACTTTGAAAAATATGTCATAAGCATAATCATGAATTTCCCCTGTAATAATAGAAATTATCTCAAAAGTCAAATTTTCAGACAGAGCACTAACCAGTCCATCAGTAGCATCTCGAACAACATCTGCTTCTGAGACAGAATCCAGTCTTGGAGGACCATCTCGCAATTCAGCTCCTGGATCCTTGGGCCTTAGTTGATTCTCTATACTGAACAATGGGGGCTTCACAGGAACTGGAGCAATGGGTGTGAGTGCAGAGAGGCCTTGAAGGCCCTGCATTGCTTGCTGCTGGAGCTGCCCTGCCGCGAGAGGCTCCCCTTCATCTGATGAGGTGTCACCACCACTGATGGGAGGCACAGGTTCTCCCTCCCATCGTTCGAGCTTATTTGGATCTTTCTCATACAGTCTTTGTGCTAACATCTGAGAACAGAGAGTTGCATTTAAACTTCAAACTAATTTCATTTTAAAGCAAAATGAGCATCAATAAATAACAACACAATATTCTAGAATGAATAAACACCTTTCAACATAATGCTTAAATCTTTCTGTTTTTACATGATTGGTTTGTTTAATCAAAGAGAAACTGCAGAGTTTCTATTTGTGAAAATCAACATTATCCTTAGGCAGTTTCTTGTCCTTTATTAGAGAACACAAATAGGTAAATAATCTGCACAAGTCATTTAAACATTTCCTGCACAACCATCAACAACAGATTTATAACAGCTTTAGTTCTGAAATTTTAGGGACAGTGAATGTGTGAAAGTAAAGGAGAAAATCATCTACAAAATTGTAATTACTTTTGAGTATTGACACAAAAACAAACACTCTGAATTAATTCTTATTTCTAGCAGACATTTCCTAATTACATTTCTCTAGTTGTAATAAGAGCACTATTGTTTATTCTTCACAACATTTCTTGATGATGGAAAAAGCAATTGATTCTGAAGCACACAAGAAAACTAATACATATAAAAGATGGTTCTACAAACAGATTTTTTAAACCATATTTGGGGCAAATACAAGTCAACATAATGTTCATTCCATATCTCCATAATTTTTAAGATAATATTTGAAAAAAAAATTAAATTAGTGATTTATTACTTTAAATTCAAAATAATGCTCAGAAGTAAGATAATAAAAGTTGACCTGTTGTTGGATGGTTAAATAAGCTTAATATAAAATTCTCAAATATGATAGAATGTTAATAAATCATGTAACAAATGACCAACAGGGGCATTTTAAAATATTTTTTATATTATGCACATTTTGAATTTTTTATTTTTTATTTATAAGCTCTTTGAAGAAAGAACAGATACAGATGCAAGAGAACTAAAATATTGAACAGAGAGGGAATTTCAAATATTATAATTGAATAAGATTGCATTAGTGCTGGACATCTAGATAGACTCAACTCAATTTTTTTCTAGTAAATTTCCAATTTACCTGCAAACTCTCCAATGAGTTCTCACAATCAGTTGTATCTATTTCATTTAGGCTCACTCCTTCACGTTCCATTTCTGCATAAGTTCCAAAAGGTAGTTTGCCCACACACTCCAACTTCATGATATGCATTTTGGATCGCAGATGTTTGGCTAGATGTCCGTGGATTCGGAACGCAATCTTGCAATCATCGCATTTGAAAGGTCTTGGATTGGTAGTAGTTGGTGTACCAAATGTTGAATTCATGCTGACCTGTAATTCATATTTAATAGCCATTTCAAAAAACCAAATCATATAAAGAGTGCCATTATTTGCTTTCTTCCCACTTTACCCTCAAGAAATCTGATTGAATTATATACATGATTCCTTGCATACATGCTACAGATATAATACACTTTGCTGTAAGGGAAAACTGTCACAAAACTTTACAGATCTTTACCTTATTCTGATGGCTCACAGAACGTTCATGTTTCTGAAGGTGTCCTTTAGTGCGGAATGATACAGCACAAGAGTCACATCGGAATGGTCTTTCAAAGTAGTGTATGTTAACATGCAGGCGCAGTTGGGAAGGTTTGGAAAACACCTTGTTGCAGACCACACAAACACTGCGACCGTCTTCTGTCACACTAAAAATAAAACAAAGAAATCATAAGTACTCCAATAAAAAGAATATTAATTGAGAAGCAAGTAATAAGAGATAAGAATAAGCATGAAAATACAACGATAACTTCTCTAAACAAAGTATTCTTAAATGTACACTGCTTAATAGAAAATGGGTTTCTGTCTAAAGCTCTTGTAATTGATACGTTTCTTGGGTTAGGTTAGTCTCTCTTCAGTTGTGAAGACAAAGTAATGTGATTTAATATTTATTCTTTGTATGAGAAGCAGGAGAGAGAAATTGAAACATCTCTACTTGAATTTTATTGAGTTGTTCAGTCACACGAACCTGTATGAGATTAAATTTATTTTCTCAGTTTTATGTTAAACATCTCTATTCATGAAAGAAATCTTCAGAGTGGAATCGTTTTAATGTCCCTGGTCAGAAAGGATTATTAATATAATAATATCAGAAAATGAATCATCGTTATTTTAATATGCAAATAATAATAATAATAATAATAATAATAATAATAATAATAATAATAATAATAATAAATAAAATAAAAAAAAAAATAAAAAAATACATTAAGAGGATCGTCTGTAATGAAATAATAGAAATGTAATGTCAGGCTGTCGACGAGTTGAGCAGCGAGAATGAAAAGAGATTGCTATACGTACGGCGGAAGATGTTTTCGAATCTTGAAACTCACCTCACGTAAGCTGGGCGAGGGCCCAGGAGGGCGGCATGAACTCCGCCTTGGGCCTCGGCGCGGGCGCGGCAGGGCGGGCGCTGGGCATTTGCGGGGGCGGGCGGGCGGGGCGGGGCCGGCGGCGCTGCAGTTGCTGCAGGGGCGACGCGCCAGGGGCGGGGCCCGCGGTTACCGCCTCCGGCGCGGAACGCTTCGCTCGCTCTGCCTCCGCCGCAGCAGCGCCAGCTCGGGCGTCGACGACGCGGGCCTCCGGGCCCGAGCATCTCCGCGGGCGGCGCGCGCCGGGACTGGCGCGGGCGCCGGCGACGGCGCGGCGCCGGGGTGGTCGGCGTGGAGGCGCCACCGCCCCGCCGATGCCCCGCGCCTGCCGCCGTTTGCTGTAGCTGCTTGCGACGCGTGTCCTGCAGCGCGCGCCCGTCAGTTACGCCTGCGGCACATTTTCAGAACATGTTGGCAATCGTTTATAGTTGACACACGCAGTTGCTAATGGAATACGTCACGGAGAACAATATTTAACTCCACGGGAACATAACTCGGAAATCTCTCCTTTGGAGAAGGTTTCTCTTACCATCTACGCTATATGGAGTCAAATATTCACAGCATAACACACACACACACACCATACACACACACACACACAACACACACATCACAGCACACACACACACAGCCGCACAACACACACACACCGTGCACACGGACGGCGCGCACACACACACGAGCACACGCACACGCCCACATAGCACGTGGACAGACAACGCACGCATTATTAAAAAATGGAGAGGAGGAAAACGTAAGACGAAAAGAGGAGAATGAAGAAGAATAAGAAAAAAATGAGAAGCAGAAGGAAGGGAGCACCACCTTACATGTGGCTGCCGCGGGTCGCCGCCAATGGCGCGGGCGCGCCTCGTCGTGTGCGTGGCGGCACGCGTACGCCCGAGCGCACAGGGACGCAAGCAGCGTGCGGCTCTGCACGGGTCAGGATCTCGACGCCGGCTGGTGGCGTGCGCGCGAAACACGCCGGCGGGCGGCTCCGTGCTCACGGTCGTAGCCGCCGTCCAGCGATGCGGAAGCCGACGCGGCGGAGGGTGCGTCGCTGGCACGCCACAGGAAGACAACAAGCCGCTGGCGCGGAAACGCATCTAAGTTCACAAGCGAGTAGCGGTGGTCGCGGCCACTGGACTACGAGTCCCGCAATACGCCATAAGCTCCTGGAGTCTTCCCACGTCTCTCTCGCGTGAACGTTCCTCTCGACTCTCTTCGTCATGCATATTCCTCTGACAAGGAATCCTAGGGTACGACCATTGGCAAGGATTTTCGGCTTAGTAACGACAAATTCACCGCTGTCAGAAGGAGAATTCAAGCGCCCGCTGCCCGATCAATAGTTTTTCCGTGATTTTCCGATCAAAACTAAGCGAAGCTGGAGTAGCACCCAAGCAAACGGGCCGATTTTCCCTTCCTTTTTTTCCTATCCTCACCCATTACTTACATTTACAATGCAATACCTTACACAAAAACAAAACACACACACATCGGGAGACCAATGAACGATCATTTAGAGCTGCCCCGGCTGAACGGTGCCCTGCCAAAGGGAGATACCTGGTTGGAGAAAACCGCAGCCGATGGTGAAGTTTGAGCCAGATCTCGCATCCAGCTGGGATCATCGCTACTTGCCGCGATAAAAGCATGCACTATTGACTTGTTTACAGTTGACGCGCCAGAAATCTATACAATCAATGAAAATCCGGACTTTCCATCCAATCCGAAGTCGCTCCGCTCACCATTGTAACGTATTACCAGCGTGCCTCATGGCATCTATTTGGATGCTTGTTGAGGATCAGCCTTGCCACAGGAAAGGGTTTTTCCGTAAAGGGAAGAACGCGGAAACGAGAGACAACAAGTTGGAGTTTCCGGCTTATAGAAGCGTTTTCACTGTTAAACAACGAGCGGTGGCGTGACGTAGTAGGTCAACGTGGGCTCGCGCTATAAACAGCGTGTACAGAGCAGTGGTGGTTCTGGAGACAGCGGGAGAACTCGTGCATGTGCACAAATTGACCACGACGGTGCATATGCGAGCCATAGGCTCCACGAAGGCGGGAGGTCACGCGGTGTGAGAAGATGGTTGAGTGCCACGATTCACGCCGATTCTAATGGATAAGATCGCTCCTGCGATCGAAGGCAAACAGCACGTTGGTGCGCCAGAACGGACTTTGTGTCAAGCGTGACATCCGGTCACGGAAGCTAGGCTTTGTGCGCGCTTCACAAAGTAGGAGTGGCGAATGCCCAATTAAAACCATCTTCAATCGGGTTTGGATCGCTCCCGCGATCAGGGATAGTAGGTCTATCAAGCTAGGGTGTAAAGTAAGATATTAAGTGTTAATATTGTTTGTGTTTCTTAGTTAATAATATTTGTTATACGAAAGTCTGTGTCTGTGGTCGCTGCGAGTATCCATGACGTCACACATGAGTCCCACTTCTCACTCGAATTTTCCGTCCTCCGGGAGCATCACCCTCCCGGCACCTCTCCGTCCGCCTTCGTTTCTTCATTCTACCTCTGTCCTATTCCGCCCTTGTCTCTCATTCCGTACCGCATCTCCCAGTCATGGACGCGGCCGTCGGCCGTCGTCTTCCGTTCGTCCGTCCGCGTTCGTCGCGTCCGTCGTCCTCACGACAGCGTCTCCCGTTCCGCTGCATATACGTCCGCTCCAGATCTCTGCGACCCTTTGTAGTATTTCCGCACATCCAGCGTCTCTGCGAGCCCTGCGTCTCCTCCTCCAACAGGCACATCGTCCATGGCGTTTCTTCATCCACCTTGCTTCTCTCTGTCCGTGCACCTCGGTCTCGCCTCGAGTCTCCGCCCGACCGCTAGGATCTCACTGCGTGTTTCCGCTGTCCAGTATGCCTCCGATCTTCCGGTGACTCGCCGTCCCGTCCTGCGTGTCTCCGTCCCGCCCGCGCTGCATCCGCTGTTCTCCCACCCAATCGCGCCCGCGAGCTGCTCACCTGTCGAACGGCGGGCGGCGGCGTGCTGTGAGGTCATGGGCCCGCCGGGTCGGCGCGGCGGGGCGTCCGCGCGGTCGGCGGAGGCGGCGTGGGCGCCGGCTGCGGCTGTCGTCGCTGCTGCCGCGCGTCAGGTGCGCGACACGGCGCCTCCCGCCCCCGCCGGCGCCGGCTCCAGCGCCGCCGCGGGCGTCGAGCGCGCCGACGGGAAGTAGTAGCGGTGGTCGCCCGCCTGAGGAGCACGCGCGAGCAAAGGTCACGCCAGCGCCAGCAAACACCTACTACTACACTGGCATGCCGCCAAAGAGGAGTGATTGCTCTCGCGAGAAAACCAGATGGTGACGTTCAGTAGTACCATGTCAACTTGTGTCTAGTGTCGCTTGTTATTACGGATAAAACATGCATCTGAGCACGGAATATTGATGTCTTGTTGCACGGCTAGATTATTATGTTATCTAGATTGAAATTCGCACAGTCGAGAAAGTACGGAGGAAGCAAAGTGCAAGAATAAAAATAGACAGAAAAAAATAAAAAGAAAACATTTGGAAAAAGAAATCGTAGAAGTTCTTTATACATGATCAACAGCAGACCAATTCATTACAGAACGAGTGGAGCTACAAAGCACATACTCTCACATTATTTCTAACAGTTCCGTAATACTGTATTTCAATTTGTATCCCACCAAAACGTCTGCCATCTCTATCTTCGCCTAACGATGTGCGGAGGATTCGAAATAAATAAGTCTTTAATTTTTATAGTAATTCCAAATTTATAATGAAAATGGGATTTATGCCGTACAATTCAATTGATTGTGCTCTCTCCTTACAAAAAGTTTAAGGGGAAAAATGGGGCCGCTTTCTGAGAACACCTTGTTTAGGTAGGTTTTGAAATCTTTACATTTGACTAAAATTAAGCAAATACAACTCATATTTTTGAAATATCGCACTTGAAATTATTTCAAGATCTAACATTGAAGCATTAAGAAAAATTGGCCATCTTCATATACAGAAGTATAGAGAAGGGTACGAAAAAATGAACTTCAGCAGTTATCGAATATACAGAGGTGTTAATAAAAATCGGTCTTTTAAACGCACTTTGCCTTTATTGAGCCACAAATTTACGTAAAAATTTAGACATTTATGAGAACATTTTTAAAATTCTCTACGAGCTTCAAGTACTCTCCCTCTCTCAAATCATTAAAAGATCCGTTTCAAACTCAGAGAGCTCGGGGTTCGCCAGATTGATCATATAGAGATAATATTGGCACAAATAAGACCTTCCCAAATTTTTTGCAGAAAAGAAGTGTGTTGGTGGTCTTGTGCCAGGAAAATAGAATACGAATTTTCAAAAGCGCGTTTAAAATCTATATTTTGAAGGGCCAACCTTGGCGATGTCTTAAGGGTAAAAGTCTGAATACATGTTGCAATTAACGTATCTTGTATATTTGTACTTGAATATTATACTCGTACAAAGGACCAAATTAAAACAGTTTATCACAAAGAGTGTGTTTTAACTTGGTCGATTTTATATTCAAACAAGGTTTTTAATACATAATTACGGAAATGGCAAAGTAATTTCAATAAACTAGACTATTTGTAGTGGAATTTATGAGAACCTGCGAATTAAACAAAATGTAAAGTGAGAAGCCACAAGCGATGCCAATGAAAACGAAAAAAAAGTTCAAGCACAGTCAAGTCGACGACACCGTCTATGGTGATAGCGTAGAGCCAAAACGGAGAATCCTAGCACGAGGAGTGAATCCTGAAATCACTCCTCAAACACCATCATCAACCCTATTTCATTGAAATTATATCACTACCCTGAATATTCATTACGTTAAAAATCACTGACGCAGTCTGAAGCATTATGCATTGTTAACTACTGTCGGTCTTATTAGTCGACCTCTAAACGCGGTGGGTGACGTCGTGACTAGTCAGGTTTCATTCTCATGCAGATTTATGTACGAGAATTTGCAATACAAACGATGGTTGAATATTGCGTTTGCTGGTGAAATTAATACAACATGGAGGGAATGCCAGTGAATTTCCAGAGAGCTCGCTTTCCAAAATATTAGACTCCTAATTCCAAACAGAAACTTTTTATTACGTTTGTAGTTAAATTGTGAAATAATTTACAATGTCAAAACGATCATGAGTGAATAGGGGAATTTATTTCGCAATCAGCGAACTTTGGTTGCCTTGATTCTTAAAAGTCGAAATTTTCTGCAAATTAAGCAGAAAATGCAAGAAAATGGATATGAATGTGTGGATATGTATTATAATTAATGTTCAGGCCATAAACTAATTTTGTCTTTTTAAAAATTTTCTGTTCTTCTATATCCACTACTACATGAATTGTATAAGATTAATTATTCCTGGATATGTTTATAGATTATAATTTTTTTCGGGTATCCAGTAGAAAATAGTAGAAAATATGAAGCGTGCCCGACCTTTGGTTGTCTTTGGTTACAATTAATGTCGTGAAGTACCTCGTCAGTCACAACATTTGTTTCTGTAGTTTATCTTAGTTTAGTAAATATTAAAAATCTCTTACGTATTATATTGAGAGCTTGTGTACTTGATTTACTTCCTTCTTAAGTTTGTTATATAGGCTATCCGTTAAGTAGGGCATTACACAATAATTCATGGCATGTTTGCTAAATTAAAGGAAAATGAAGATAAACGAAAAATATTACCATGAACTGATTCAAATTTCAGACAAAAACTTGATCACAATTGTTCTTAATGAACAACAAATATACATTATGTTTGGAAGAAATAAAACCCCTTACTCACAATTTTCAGTTCACTCCTGATATTTACAATGTTGCCAAGTCCATGGTGAAATTCGCATTTTGTATTTAATACTCTCTATGAAAGAGAGCCAAACGTATTGGGTAAAACCGGTTCCGGAAGCTGTGAGAATACAAGAACAAAATTTCGCTGAAGATAATAGGAGGGGGAGGAGGGGTAAACGACTAAATACAAGGCCCCACGGTGAGAGAAAAATGTCAAAGGACGCGGAGCAGGCCACAAACGAATGAAGGGGGGAGCGATGTGGCGGCTGGAAAAAAACAAAAGCTACGGAAATGCTCTGCTCGGCGAAGAGAATCTTGTGAATGCAATAAGCGAATCGTAGGAGGTGTCGCCTCCGCGTTAATTCCACTTTCACACTCCAAATTACAACCCGGGGTATATCCAGTGCACTAAGTAAAAATGTCTACGTGAACTACTTTTTAAATATGATGAAATAGAATATTATTTTCCATTCAACACAATTTAAAATCGCGTATTCTCGATGAAATTTCGAAAATAATTTCATTATTTTCGTATTATCAGTTTCGTCGTAGTTTCACGCTCATATCAGACCATCGTAGGCAAAAATTTATTTATAAGTATTTTTTAGTCAAGTGACCAGAGAGGACTGTAACTCCGCTGGGAAATGGGCACAGAACTTAAGTAGTTTATAGTTTTTTCTTTCACGTATTTTGTGAGTAAAAAGCAAATTAAATACTTATTTATTATTTTCAAGATGTCTTCTAGTTAGACTGACTACACTGACGGAGACTCTTATTCAATGAAATTAATAATTAAAATTTTGAGAACGGTAATGGACTCCTTAGAATCAAAATTTTCCGCATTAAATGTAAACAATACAACAAATGCTGAGTGATTAATAATTTAGAGTGTATTATGCAAATAGTTTATAATGTTACGCTTTATTGCATGAGTACATGTTTTGAAAACGAGCGACATTAGGAGCGAGTTCGAATTTGGTACGCAATCAATAAGCAAATATTTAATAACGAGTTGTTTAGTTCTTTATTTCTGCATAACAGCATTATTATTTCCGAGCCTAATAGCGTCGGCATAGCAATACTCCGCATAATAGTCGAGCATAAGCAATTCGGAGCAATAGCTTAATATAGCGTAATAAATTATAAAATAAATACACGGTCGCGTCGAATTCGCGTCTTGGCTTTTTTGTCACTTCTCTCTCTACGAAGTATGCGTGCTCTCGATTTCTTCTCATGAATTTTAAACATGATCAGAAGATTGAGCTTATCTTTACTAATTAACTAGTTTAACCTTTATATGTCAGTTGGGTCATTTCATATTTCTTTCTCATCATGGAGCAATGAATACAAGCTCCATAGATCCATGCTTCTCATAATTCCCTCAATAAGAGAGCATGTAGCACCATTCAACGGTTTACATTTTTCCCTTGTAACGACGATCCTCTCGATCCAGGTACGTTATGCATTGTGTACCGCACTCCGTATCGAGGCCAATAACAAGCAATAACGTATCAGCAAAAAGTAAAAATGATTTTCCAAAAGCTGTTATCTACAGGAACACCAGACAAATGTTATTTCTTCTCATAATTGTGGGGTCGCTTCACAGTAACACAATCGGTCCTTGCGTGCCCATTCCTGTGTGCCAATGAACTATTCAGAAATTCGATATGATACTTGGAGAGAAACACGTATGCAGATTAACTAACTAACAGGTGAGGAGTTGCATGGAGAGCTGAGATCTAAAAACACAAAGAAATGGTAATGTGGCAGAGAGAGTACAGTGGACAAACACGTGAGAATCAAACGCAAAGCGTTGAAGAGTGTATGGAGAGAAATATATTTTTGTAGGTGGCTACAGTCTTCGCGGTTGGTGTCACAATTTGGGGTGGTGACGTACTTGTTTGCATCCTGCTAGACTTCCAAGAAGACGGACGGTTGTTTCCTCAAAACATGAAGGCGGAGATGTTTGATTTGTGATAAAAGAACCACTAATTGAA